CTGGGACATAATTAGCGGACGATGGTCAAGAAGACCCATCGAGCGGCATTAAAAGCTGTCGGTGGCCCTCGCATGGCACACCAACTAGCATGCAGCAACGGCACAAGAGAAGCATGAGACAGTCTGTCAACCCAGCAGAGTCCGATCGCTCTCCCAGTGAGATTTCATTGCGATACTATCGGTAGGTTCTCAGTGGAGCAGCAGGATAGCCAGTTACCGTAGTATCTGGAGACCTGATCTAAACATCAAGATGAGGCGCAGTTTCTGGAGAGGGAGGAAAGAGAGTTTGGGACTATCGGAATCGAGTTAAGTCCGCAGGTCCAATTGTTGCACGGAAATGGGGGGTAAGTGTAAGACTCTCGTCCTAACTAGGCAAACTGAGCGGGAATGAGATAGAGCATGCCAGTCAACGGTGAGTTCTGCATGGCTCGCGGCGGCTGTCAGGGACCTTGACGGGCGGATCAATCTTGGGGGAGCCCCGCTTGATTGGTCCGCCCGGTGCAGAAGGCGTTTCTTCAAGCCTAAGCTGCTGCAGGCCTCATCACTCCCACGCACCAATCACCCGCCCCCAAAGCTCCGTTGTCGCTGGTCAGTAAGTAGGGCGGCGCGTAAAGGGCCATCCTGGCATCTGAATGGTTGCTCGCTGCAGCAAAGCCCAGTAACTCTGTGCCAATTGTAGAATGTTGCTCCCGAGAAAAGGGTCATTGCCAGCATCAGGCGATGTGCTGGTGGTTATCGAATCACGTTCTACCCAGGACAATGTACACGTTACTTGAGAGACCAAGGTTAAACCTAGGAACGCTAGGACTCAAGTACAGACTTTCCTGCCGAGACAAGGTCTGTGCTTTGAAAGTTGGGGGATTTGTTTGGACGAATCCAGCGATAATGAGATAATTGCATACTGCCAATGACCAGTATGCATGGTTGGTCACTGGCAATGTCAAGGCAGACCGAGCCGTCTATGCCTATCACCGGAGCGAACTGCGACTGTGACACGGGAAAGGAAACCGTCCTTAACATTGCCGGTGACTATGGCATCGCACGGTGGTATAGCCGTAGAAAGTCACTGTGATTGTGCCACCTCAATATCACCTTCAAACGATCTCAAGCGATATGGCATGGACCTGGGACGATGACGAACGACGTGGACGAGTCTTTTGTGGTGGGACATTGATAGTGGGTGGCGGGAGAAATGTGATGTGACTAGCAGTGTGACTAGTCTAGTGACTGGCTTCCTTAGCGTCTGTGAGAAATCCCCAATGATTGCGGGGTTGGATGAGGCGCTCGTTCCACTGTCTCAGATGTTTCAAAGAAACGGTGGAGCTGCCATCGAGAACGTGTAGAAGCTGGTTTTCTATAGGCGGGAAACTGAGTGCTTGAAGTATTGTTTGGTCCGAAGCATGCTGAACTACTCAGTAGAAGCGGGTGCCGTAGCCTGTATGACTTGAGTATAGAGCGGCACAGAAGAGTTGGCCAGATAATGACAGGATGCAGACATAGCTAAGGATTGGAATGAAGGGGTCAACGCAACCAATTGAATGATTAAGAAAGAGTCCATGACGGCCGAGTCGATAGATACAAATTTCATACTACATCCATAGAACGGACAGTTACTATTCTCGGCCGGGCCTAAGCGGGGCGCGATAAGGCGGATTGTCCTAATGATCACATGACCATACACAATTCTGCCGGTGCTTTTCCTCCGCGGCGAAATATCGGCCCGTGATATGAATTTCCGCCATTTCCAAAATCTTTTGGCTTCAACCAAAGCATCGTAAGGCATAATTAGGTTCTAAGGAACAGTATCATATTGCCTGTTTTTTTTTTTTTTTTTCCCTCTTGAACGACTCCAGAAATCTGGATTTATCACCACCAAACACCTCCACCAAACACACATCACAATGGGTGTGCAAAAGAAGACTCGCAAGTTTGCGCAGGTCGGTCCGCGCCCAAACTGCCCGAAGAGAGTTCCATACTGATTCCAGTCTGCCAAAACAGATGAAGCGCACCATCAAAGCCCGCGATGAGCGCCTGAAACCCGATAACAAAAAGCAAGAGAAGCCCAAGGAGAACGAGTTGACCCGTCACATCCCCGTCGCGCCCTCGAACATGTTCTTCGCCGCCAACACTGCGCTCGGCCCGCCCTACCACGTTCTCGTCGATACCAACTTCGTCTCGCACGCCATTCGGGCGAAGCAGGATCTCCTGACCTCTATGATGGATCTGTGAGTTTGTGTGATCCTTTGGATTGGTGGCAATAGGGATGATGCTAAGACTTGTGGAATCAAAGTTTATACGCGAAATGTATCCCGACATTTTCGGATTGCACGATTGCCGAGTTGGAGAAACTGGGCGAGAAGTACCGGTTGGCGCTCCGGACTGCCAAAGATCCCCGATGGGCGAGGGTGAAGTGCTCCCACAAGGGCACGTATGCAGATGACTGTATCGTGGATCGGGTGAGTTGAGAACTTCAGTCAAAGCGTATGTGTTACAGCGCGCTAATTATCGCCCACTCCAGGTTTCGAAACATCGCATCTACATCGTGGCGACCAACGATAAGGATCTGTGTCGTCGTTTGCGCAAGATTCCGGGTGTACCGATTATGAAGGTCGCCAGAGGAAAGTTCACGATTGAGAAGCTGCCCGACTCTTTGGATTAGATTCAGCAACACATTCGGGATGGGTCCGGATTGGACAACAGATGTTATTACTTCTTCTTGATACCACTTAATCGCACGATACTGCACGACTACACGACTCGAGTACGGATCTTCACACCGTGCCCAGGGCACTTCCTCGTCTAACGAGATCGCACCTTGTCTGGCAGACCAGGTTGGCCACCACTTGACTCCATTTGTGAATGTGTGAATTCAGTCTGCAGGATACGACGAGACACGACATACGAAGCTTGCGAGTCACGTCACACAACCACAACGATACCCGGGCGACGACGGTTTGTGGGGCATGCGTGGTAGATAGTCGAGGGTGGCTTGATGGCCATGTCAAACCAGAACCTAAATAGAAGATCAGAGAGCACAATGAAGCTTCGACGGCATCTAACAGTCATTCAAACCTTGTCAACCCTACTCTTTAGTAGCATGCATATCTCGTACTATGAGTCACAAGGCTCAATCCATAAGCAGCCAGCTCCAGCAAGCGGGGAAACAACAGCCTTATCTATACCGATAACCCACTCGACCCCAACAACAACAACAACCGTTCCAACCACCATCTTCAACATCAGAAACCACCTCAAACACAGCCCCCGCGCAGCCAAAGCACAATGACTACTCCAGAATCCGAAACCATCGTCATAATTGGGTGCGTCCCCATTCCCATCCCCATCCTCATCATTCCTTTCCCCTCATCCACCCACTCACCCTACACACAACCACCAACCCTCCTCCAACCGACACACTAACCCACCCACAGAGCCGGCGTAATAGGCCTCAGCACAGCCCTCTACCTCCAATCCCACATCACCACCAGCAACAACAGCACCAAAATCCTCCTCCTCGCCCGCGACCTCCCGCACACCACCTCCCTAAACTACACCTCCCCCTGGGCCGGCGCGCACTACCGACCCGTCCCCGGCACCGACCCGCAACACCGGCGCGAAGCCGCCCAAGCCCACCGCACATACACCCACCTCCAGACGCTGGCCAGCACGCAACCGGGGGCGGGCGTCGCGCGCTGCCCCGCGGTGGAGCACCTCGAGCAGCCGCCGCCCGGGTACCTCGATGCCGTGGCCGTGGAGGCCGCGTATGCCCACGTGGACGGGTTCCGGGTTCTACCACCCACAGAACTACCGGAGGGGGTGCGGTGGGGGGCGGAGTATGAGACGGTCGTCATCAATTCGCCGGTGTATTGTCAGTGGATGCTCCGGGAGTTTGTGCTGCGCGGCGGGGAGGTGCGGGAGTATACGTTGGGGGATGTGCGGGAGGCGTTTCTGGTGGGCGGGGCTGGACAGGAGGGAGGAACGAGGAAGGTGAGGACGGTGGTCAATTGTTCGGGGTTGGGGCTGGGTGGCGGAGATGAGAAGGCTTTTATTATTAGAGGTAAGAAAAAAAAAAAAAAAAAAAAAAAAAAAAAAAAAAAAAAAAAAAAAAATCCCCCCCCCCCCCCCCCCCCCCCTCCTCGGGCTTTGTGGTTGTTTGCTCGTGTTCTGGTGGTGGTGGTGGTGGTGGTGGTGGTGGTGGAGGAAGCTCTACTGGATCGATGCTGCTGACACACAACACCCCAAATTGTCTAGGACAAACCTGTATAGTTCGAAACCCGTGCTCTGTGACCATGACCCGTCAGAATAGCGATGGGTCGTGGTCGTTCTGTATCCCCCGGCCGCTGGGAGGCGGCACGATCATCGGCGGCACCAAGCAGCCGCATGACTGGGATCCGAACCCGTCGCCGGAGACGCGAGCCCGGATCCTGGCGAATGCGGCCAAGTGGTTCCCTTTTGCCGAGGGGAGTGAAGGGAAGTTCGATGTCATTCGAGATATCGTCGGGCGGCGGCCGGCCAGAGAGGGTGGCATGCGGATTGAGGTCGAACGGCTGGAGGCCGGCGATGGGGAGCGCACGGTTGTCCATGCTTACGGGGCGGGTGGACGTGGCTTTGAGCTATCGTGGGGTGTAGCTGAGGATGTGTTCAAGCTCATGGCGGAGCATGGTCTCGTCCAGCAGAAGGCCCTGTTGTAAGTTATTGCTTCTGCGATGAAGGCTCATGATTGACTGGGCCGTGCTATAGCCATTTATAATCACGACAACAGCAAGCCCTGATTTCTGTGGCTCGAAATTTTGTGTACATTATGATTAAAACTCCCTTCTCCATCCAACTGTTTTGTATTGACAAATAGGCTCGAAGAACAGTTCCGTATATGAGAGAAAGGAAAATGAGATGAGCTGCCCAAGAACGCCCTCGTCCTTCGAAATGTGAACCAGTATGTCGGACCATTATCTAGGTTTTTTTCTGGAGCACTTCGCCACCTAATAGCAGTAATCGACTCTTCAGAAACCTGGAAGAGGCGGCAGAGGCGCGAAAAGACTTGGCTTGCCACTGCAGATGTCTCTATGATCAGCTGGCATAGACAGGTTCTGCAAATGGTCTGGTGCTTCAATAATCACGGCCATGAGACGGGTTTCAACATGAAATTCGATATGGCAATGAAACATCCAGATACGTAAAGGCTGGCGAAGTTAGCTTAATGAAACGAAGGCGAGAGGTATGGGTACTTATCTGGATTCATTGCCTTGAAACGAAGGACAGCATGGCCCTTGGGTTCGACCATGAGAGTGTCTCGTCGCGACGGAACTGCCGAGATATTGCCATAGCCGTTGAAAGCACCACCGTTCGGGTATGTACGTTGGAGGATCTGGAAGTCATGTCCATGCAAATGCCAAGGGTGCAGGTTGTTGTGGTTGTTGTTGATGACAAGCTCCACGACTTCACCATACTCGACCACATATTGATTGATGGAACCATATATCGACGGGTCCAAAGACTCTTCACTGCCGGCAGCCAAGGCTGTATACAAGGTAGGCTCCTTGGGAGTTTCGTACGTGTTGCCATTGATAGTGTACGTTGGAACACCGTCAATCTGGGCATAGTTGAAGTCCAAGACGATTTGTCGAGACACTGGCTCAAGCAGCGGAAGGCCGTCTACCGGTGTGAGCGTTACGTCGTCCAAGAACTCCAGACTTGCGTTATGGATCTGAATGTCCGGGGACGGTAAGAAGGGCGCATCTTCATTGTACATCAGCCATGCAGTACCGTTAGCATTGTATCCTTCAGGCATTGCGCGGTTCTCTCGGATAAACATCTCGTCAATATCAAGGCCGTCCCAGATTGCGTAGTTCCTGCTTGTGTTATTCTTTGTTGTCAAGAGTAGGTCGAGGCGCTGTCCAACAGTCATCCGCAGGTATTGAGGTGTCGCAAGTTTTGGTTCCACGAGAATGCCATCAGCTCGGACGACAGTCAGATCGTGATCCTCAACAATGAACGCATGTCCGGCCCAGTTTCCCATGCAGACAACGTGGATGAGGTAGGTCTTGTTCGGCTTGACTGGGATCTTGGTTCCGACTGCATCGTTGAACAGAACCGCATCTGGCAACGGCTCTAGTCCAGCCGGCCCGTCCGCTGGGTAGACGTAATCTTCGGTGAGCTGGGGCATCTGTCTGTTGTACCAATCCGAGAGTGTGACAGTGATCTCCTCGTCGTAATGGAAAGGTAATGGTGCCGTGTCGTGAACAACAATCGGTCCCCGAATTCCATCGGGATACTGGCCTTCTTGGTGGGAATGATACCAATACGTTCCGGTTTGATTGACCTGTTTTGTGTGTCAGTAACGCCCCCAGGGTCATCACATTAGAATAGAGCCCATTACCGGAATAACGTATCGCATGCGCTGCTTTGGTTTGATCGGGCATTGAGTTATGTCAGGTACACCGTCCATGAAGGTATTGTAGTTCTGATGAAATCCATGCCAATGGATGCCGGTGGACTGGTTTCCGAGGGCATTGTAGACATCTACCACCAAGTTGTCCCCAATGTGGACGTCTATCTGTGGACACGGCCATTGACCGTTGATACCGATAATCGGTCGCTCGACACCATTTGGTGCTGCGTTAACCCATGTGATGTTCCAGTCGAGATACACGTTCTTGCCGAATGCTTCTTGTACGAGCCCCGGCAGGCCCAGAAGCAAGAAGGTTCGGAGCATGGCCACTACCGTGAATTTATCATCCACGAAAATTGAGTGTGGTAAACGAGGAGTGCTGAGTATATACGATTAGAACTTGAAACTAGAAAATGAAGGACGAAAGTTAGCTAGGATAAGAAAAATCATTCGAGGACGTAAGTGTATGCATATCAATACGCCCACTGACCCGTCTCGGCTTGTGTCCATCCAAAGTTCCAAACAAACACATGCCTTGAAAAGACCGTGATTAAAAATCGAAAAGTCGAGCGCAAATGAGGGACTCCTACCTCGCACTCGGAAATTCTTGTAAAACACCGTAGAATGCTAACATGCAACTTTCGTTTCTGCAAGGGGCAAGGCTAGGGACCATCCACCACCACAGCCCCAGCCAGCCAAGGAAATCAGCCTCCATGTAGATTCCTTCCTAATCCACCCTTGCAAGGAATTTCCGAGTCATAATCGCGTCGAGTGCCGGTGGGTTTATATTTTCCTATACACCGAATGATTGATGCCTAGTGGCGGACAGGCCGAGTATGAAGGAGTCGAGACAACGGGTTCTCACGAATGATAATGTGAGAAACCACTGTTCCACAGCTCATTTCACATGGTATTTTCACGACGTTCGGACTATTCGGCGCAGATTTCGGACAGTCAGATCAAGTCACCAACGCCAGGTCGATCTCTCAATAAATAACTAAGTTTTGATTGATTGACTGAGACATGAGTCTTCCAATCGCACGAAGCAGCGACTGACTCCACTCGGCAGCTCAGGTTCCATATCTGCAGGGGACTATTCGGAAGGCCCGTGGAAAGAGTAGTACGGACGAGTATAGAAGCATAAGCAAGAGGATCTTGGAAGTGGCAATGGCCAAGAGAGGTAATCGATATTGGACTGCTGGGAGGAGGTCCCGGCCTGGATCGATGCTTTCCAAGAACAGCGGAATGGATGACCACAAGACCACCGATTTCAGACCATTGTCCATTCTGGCAGAGTGATGATGTCAAGTTACAAGCATTGGTCTTGATATCGGGTTATCATATCCGGGTTGTCTTTCACTCGTCCGTCCGTGGGCTCAGAGTGGCACGTTTGCTGGACGTACAAGACAGACAATGCGCATCAAGGTCCAAGAGAACCTTCATTTCAGATTGATCTGGTCTCATAAAGAAAACGTAGGTGCCTGGAAGGGGCAAAGGTCAATTTTCATCCAAGGGGCGATGATCGAGTTAGCCGTATGAGGCAAGGGAGTTGTCAGGGCCGGGATGGAAACGACGGTCGAGATGAACGATTTAAACGATATTCCATGCGGCGGATAGAGTTTCCATGGAGCGAGCTTAAAATTCTACCTTGGCTTATTTGAATACGAACAAATCCCCTGCTTACAATCTCTTTATGCTCCCCCAAACCTTCTTATTATGAAGTCCTTACGTCAAGCATGAAAGACAATATATATCCACTCGTACATGGTACCCACGATGAGTTCTAATTCATCTGTGCTAGATCGTCCTCACAAGCACGTAAACGCTCGCATTGGCGTCTTCGCTTCCCCTGGTGAAGTAAGAAGATGACACCCTTACAGTCGGCACGAACCATTTGTGCACGAGGCAAACTCAACCTTACGTGGCTTTCGCATCTTTGATTCCCGGGTTACAATCTTCTGGACAGCATTAAATTACTTGGCGGTATGTGAACCTGATATTTGTGACTAAAGATTTGTATTGCAATGGTAGTCTCGTGCTTTCTGCTTGATCCTACTGCTTTGTGAGCAAAAACGTCTACCATTGTCCATTAAATAAACTCTCCAACGGTTTCCCCTCAATATTCTGAGATATTTTCGGTCATGCTACGTATCGCTCAGGAGCTCACCGCATTGGCAGCAGCCATTTCGTGCTCCAAGCTCGCCATCACCAACGGGGCCGCCCCGAACACACTGTTATATGACAACGGCTGGGTAGTGTAGTACTACCATTCAATTAGCACTTCATCCAAGCATATCCATGTAGCAATTACTGGGTTGCAAAGTACTGAGGGTGGGGGGTGGAAACATACCTCATACGTCGGGTCTTCTAAAGTGCAGACCCCAACTGTGCCATTCACACTCAATGTGCCGCTGTCATCCCGGACCACTCGATTCTCAAGCAGCCAACTATAGCACTTCTCCGCCGTCTGCTTGTAATCCTTGCCACTCTCGGGGTGAACCCCCGTCAGATAGCCCAGCCGCACACCCTTGAGAATCGAGTATGTGAACATGGCCGATCCACTCGTCTCAATATAATTGCCTTGCTCCCCTCCATGCTCCATCACCTGCCACCAACACCCCGTGGTCTCGTCTACATCGTTGATGATCGTGTTGGCCAGATTGTAGTACTTCTTGTAGGCGTCGTCTCGTTGCGTCTGGTTGAAAAGACCAGGAAATTTGTCTGCGTTGTGTAGAAGCTCCACAAGACCCATGTGGTACCACCCGAGGGCGCGATCCCAGACGTACGGGCTTGCACCAGTAGTCTTGTTGGCCCATGGTGCTGACTTCGAGGCGTCGTAGCCGTGCGCCATCAAGCCGGTATCGTGGTGACAATGGTCTTTGAATTGATTAAGGTCTTTGCTGAGGTTCTCGGCCAGGGTGCCGTTGGTGGGCTCGAATCGGTTCTTGTATACGGTAGTGAAGGCGCCCAAGGGGTAGGTCTCATCCAAGTAGCTGAGGTTCGGCCGGGCGTTATAGTACCAAAAGCCGCCTGTCAGGTAATTAAATGATGGTTCGAAATGGCCAGCCAGGTACAGTTGCCTCACCCTCCGAGTTACGTTTCCTGCCGTCGTATGCCTTCTTCAGAGCATCGAGGCCCTGCTTGTAACTCTCGCTGCCGGAGTTCTCATATCTGTAGCCGGCATCGCGTTGTGTCAGATCAATGGTCGGGCTTTTAACACGTATGAACCGCAGGCCCAACACTTACTGGTAGTACAGCCCGTTAGCCGTGGCAAATATGTCCATGGGAGCCTCGATATCGCCATCCACGTCCAAGACTGTGGGAAGGATACTATCGGTAGCCTCTTTCAGATATGCATCCCAGTCCTCCTTTGCACATGATGCAGCATCATAGTACTCTTTTAGATGGATAACGCTAAGTTGGAACAGTCCAAGCTTCAAGGAGAGTGAGACATCATTTTCAGTGTCAGCGTTCATCACCGCATCTTTGCGAGCGATGATACTATCGGCCAACCATGCTGAGTATGGGCGTACTCCGTTCTCGCATGTTTGTCCGGCCGCTGCCACCATAGAGAGGTGACTTGCGAGTCCTGGGAGCACAAATGTGCTCAAAGTCTTCATGCGAACCATACTGGGGAATGCTGTTGAAAGACCAAGAGCCGGGAAAAGCAGGTCTGTCGGTCTGAGAAGCTTCTTATGTGATAGATGTAACTCAGATGGATTGTGTTGTTGGCGTGCACTAGATAGGGGATAACGGCTGTCGATCAGTCAATAGTCCGAAGTAGCAAGGACTGAAGCCTGCAGTAAGACATTGAACAGCAGTCTCTCGTTCAAAATCGAGAATTAAATTCTCGTTGGATAAATCCATGATGAAGCACAGGGGGAAATGGCAGGGATGTCACATTCTCAAGTGAGACAATTAGGCAAGGTTTCCTGCCTGTGAGAGAGCCTGGGGCAGCAAAAAATCATCAGCACCATCACGGGACCGATTTGAAAAAGAAATGACTGCTACCTAAGGTACATGTACATTGAGTAAGACAGACTGAATAAGAAACCCTCCATATATCCAGTTCAAGAGCTTTCGTGTTGTAGCAGGCCATACCGGGCGCCCCAGGCCAGAATAATGCAGAAACAATTCCCAGATCAAGCCCACTTGACAGTTGTGATATATATACAATATTGTAGCAAGTGATCCGAGTAAATGCGACCCACGTTGACAGCCAGACATATGCATACTATTCACGCCGACTCTAAGGGAGGAGAATACTTCGGAGGTGGAACTTGAACAGCCTGCGGCTCTTCGTAGCGTGGTGGACTTAAGTCATTCAGTTCCGTGTTCGATTCTGGCTTTTCTTCTCGTCTCTTTCGCCGCTTGATGTAATACAGTACTCCAAGGGCAACTATCAGTCCGACACCGATCACAACACCAACCACGATACCGGCAATGGCCCTGGTGCCTAACCTTTTCGAGTGCTTTTTCGAGCTGCAGTCGACATAGCCTTTTGAGCCATTGGCGGCCTTCCTGATGGTTTCCTTCACGGATTGGCAATCCAAGGAGAGGCTGCTATGGACGCTGAAGCCGAAAAGGGATTTCAGCTTAGGAAATTTCACACTTCGTTCAACGCAGTCAGCTGAAGTTTACCTCCTGTATATGCTGGAAAGCTCTGTTTAGACCCACCTTGAAATTGCTCCGTACAAGTCAATAGACGACGCCTCTTCAAAAGGAAGGTCAATGGCTAGTGAATCACCAGCATCAACTCGAAAATATCCACTCATGTTCCGCATCTCCGGCATGGAAAGACTGGTATTATCGGGAGAGTCATTGGTTAGCCTGCATTTACCTCAGATCTCCCGGTAGAGGCAGAAGCCCTCACCTTGAGATGTTCCCTCCCAAAATCATGTATGTAGGCGCACTATTGAGGCGAGGGAAAGCAATGTTGATAGCTGATTCATTGGATGCGGTGCGGTGGAAGCCAGAAAATCTAGCTTCTTCCTTAATGGTTGTGAGGTTTGGCACTGCTAGTCTACACAAGCTGCTGTCAACGTTCAATTCTGGTGGATGAAACAAGAATGCAAAGGCAGACAGGCACACCCTGATAAACTTCCATCGATTTCTATGGTACCCACAGATTGCAGCGAAGGAAGAGAGATATGTAATGGTGTGGTTGAAGACTGGTTTTTCTCGCATCTATCCTTATTGCAGATAGAAAAGTATCCGGAGACAATTCGTAGTGAGTCTAGACGTAGACTACATTAGATGCATCAGCACATTGAACAATAGCATCTCATAATTGCCGCCAGACGACGACCCGAGCTTACCTGGAAATATCGCCAAAGATCTCCACATATCTTACGGTTTCCAATGATCGCAAATCAACGTCCTGCACATAATCCATTCTTAGCGCCCACCCGGCCGTCTTTAACATTGGCGCGGACACATTTGCCAAAGCCGAAATACCCAGGAGGTACATATCACTCCCCATGTACTCGAGATCTGGAAGACTGATAGACGTCGGTGCAG